GAATTCTCATTTTCTTGGCATAAATTGGTTATTGGGCAAGAATTGTTCCCTGGCAGGGTGGGCAGGGGCTGGGATGGAATTGCCAGAGCAGCTGGGGCTGCCCCTGGATCCCTGGCAGTGCCCAAGGCCAGGCTGGACATTGGGAGCTCCTGGGACAGTGGGAGGTGTCCCTGCCCCAGCTGGGGGCACTGGGGGGGCTCTGAGGTCCCTCCCAGCCCAACCCTGGGGTTCTGTCCCAGTCTGGTCCCAGTCTGGGGTTCTGGGATTTGCAGCCCAGTCCCTGGGGCTCTTTGGGCTCACAGGCACTGCCAGGCTGCATGACAAGCAAGCCCTGAAGGGACATTTTCTGACACTAAAATCCCATCCCACCCCTCAGTGTCACCTTTCCTATAACTGCCACGCACAGAATTTATAATTCAGTGGTGGGGCTGATTCCCTGACATCCCACATTCATCCCAAAAGGCTCTCTGTGCCTGCCCTGCTGTTTCTGCTGTCACAGCTGCCCCCAGCACAGCTCCTGTGACCTGTTCCTAGATCCAGTTTATTTGTAGACCTTGGCACTTGTACATCTGAGCATCTCCATCCCCACAGGGCTGCTGTTCCCTGGCTGGGGTGGTCTCTGAGGGATGGCCCTCAGCAGAGGAAGGTGGCTGTGTTCCCTGCAAAGGGGCACAGGGGGGAATCTGGGAATTCCCTGCAGTGATTTAATCACCATCAGTCAGGAACTGGGGCTGGGCAGGGCCTGAAGGGCTCCTCATTCTGAGGCAGGAGCTGCAGGCTCCTCCCTGGCTCTGCTCCTGCTGCCCTGGGCAGCCCGGGGAGGATGGAGCTGTCTGAGCCTTCATCCCCAGCTGCTCTGGGCGAGCGGTGCTGGCATGGCCGGGTGGGTTTGGGGCTCTCAGGGAGGCTGCAGGGCTCCTGAAGGAGGGAGGAGCACCCTCAGCCCCCCCTGGACACCCAAATGTCCCAGGCCACGTTGGCACTCGGGTCCTTCCCCTCCCGTGGTTGTGCAAACGCACAGAGCAGGGGAAGCTAATTTTAATTTTTATTAAAAAATGTTTCTCCTTCTTATATTTGCACAACATAATGTAGAGAATGAGATAGAATCTTGAGATGACCTGGAAAAGCCTTCTGGGAGATTTATAAACCATCTACTTCATCTGTAAGAACATTTGTTTTAATTCCCATATAAAAGTGAGATAAATTGGCTTGTAATAGCACGAGTCCAAAAATATCTCAAGTTACCACTTTATTTCCATATTGCAACATAACACAATTCAGTGCATAATTAGAAAGCTGAATTAGAAAAGAGGAGCAGTTGCTCCTGATTAGAGTGAAGGCAAAGCTGTAGCCTGCAAAAAAGGATTACTGACTCCTAAAGGGACTTTTCAAAGCTCTGACTTAAGTTGTTATATAAACTGTAAGTTCAGTTCTTCTGGCCCAGCAGCTGGAAATGTCTCCTGGGCTGGCAGAGACAGAGGCCTGGTCCTGCAGTGCTTCCCAGAGAAATCACAGTTCGTGCAAAATCAGCCACTGATAAATTTTGTTCTATAAAAATTGCCCATTATTAGATGTGTGTATTCCAGACCAGTCCAATTTTCTCTCAAGGTTTTGAGGGCAATTTTTGTGATTTGCATGAATAAAGCAAGAATCTGGAAAACATAAAAATCTAAAATTCAAATGGAAATCACTTATGTAAAAGAAGTGATAAAATCTAGGTGCTTTTGCATGTGAATGATGTCCTCAGGGTTGGGTTTTCTCCAGTGCCTGCTTCAAAGTCCCTGCATTTGCAAGGCAGTGTGTGAAGTTAAAATTTGTCAAAAGTCAGAGTCTGCTTGGGAGAGGAGATTTGAGTGAGGGAGACCCTTCAGAGGGACTTTGTCCTTCTGTCACAGCAGATGTGGCTTCAAACCCTCCAGGGGAGTGGCCTGGGACACCAACACCAGAAGGGTTTTGGGAAGCCTGGGTTTCCTCTGGCAGCACTTCCAGTCATGGAATTGGGCTGGGAGGGACCTGAAATCCCCCCCAGTGCCCCCCAGCCATGGCAGGGACACCTCCCACTGTCCCAGTGTCCAGCCTGGCCTTGGGCACTGCCAGGGATCCAGGGGCAGCCCCAGCTGCTCTGGGCACCTGTGCCAGGGCTCTCCACCCTGCCAGGAACAATTCCTGCCCAAAATCCTACCCAGCCCTGCCCTCTGGCCCTGGGAGCCATTCCCTGGCTCCTGTCAATGCTCTCTCTCCAGTTTCTGGTAGCTCCTCCAGGCCCTGCAAGGCCACAGCTGGGTCACCCCAGAGCCTTCTCCCCTCCAGGCTGAATGAGCTCGCTCCCAGTTCTCATTCATGGCAAGTTCAAGCATCTCTCACTAAATCTGCATCTTAATTTCTTAATTTAATCTCAGGTTTGGGAGCTGCTGGGTTCAGCAGCCAGCTGTAAAAGGCACGCAGGAGTTATTAGAGTCCCATTGTCAGTTAAATCTGATCCTTTGTACTTTAAGTCTCCCATTTGCATTCATCTAAAATGCTTCCCGAGAATTTATCAGAAGGAGTGAAATAAGAAATGAAATAGTTTCACGTAAACTGCATTTTTATGTCTGACTGGTAAAACCACAAAGCAGAGATAAAACACATAAAACTGAGGCTCTGCATAATAAGCATATCTATTAGTTTCCCTTATCTTACCCTGCTCCCATTTGTCATGAGAAGCTTTGTGTGTCACTCATCCCTCCTTGTTCTACAAACGCTCTTTTCTCCCGCGCCTTTTATCTCCCATCAGCGTTTCCAGGGTGGGAGCTCTGCTGAGGTGCTGCCAAAGACCCCTTGGATTAAATAATCATTTCACCTTCAACCCCTTCCCAGCAGGAAAAAGCAAACTGGGTTCCTGAGCTGCTGTGATGGGGACAGCCTTCACAGCAGCCCAGGATGAAGGGAGAGATGGATCTGGAGCTGCCCGGGGTGAGGGGGACAGGAGGGGACAGGAGGGACAGGAGGGGACAGGAAAGCAGGGATCCAGAGCGGTTCTGGGCAGTCCCTGGGCACAGATCTGGCTCTGGAGCTCTGTTCAGGGTGTGAGGATGCCCAGATCTGGCTCTGGAGCTCTGTACAGGGTGTGAGGATGCCCAGAGCTCTGTACAGGGTGTGAGGATGCCCAGAGCTCTGTACAGGGTGTGAGGATCCCCAGAGCTCTGTACAGGGTGTGAGGATGCCCAGAGCTCTGTTCAGGGTGTGAGGATTGCCCAGGGCTCTGTTCAGGGTGTGAGGATGCCCAGATCTGGCTCTGGAGCTCTGTTCAGGGTGTGAGGATCCCCAGATCTCTGTTCAGGGTGTGAGGATCCCCAGGGCTCTGTACAGGGTGTGAGGATGCCCAGAGCTGGCTCTGGGACACCACAAGGGCCATTGCTGTTCTCTCAGTGTTCCTCCCCCAGAAGTTCAGCCTGCTGAGCACTGAATGGGAGGAGGAGAGGAAACAGCGTTCTGAACAGCCACCCTCAGTGTGTGACGCTTCTCCCATCTCTGGATTTCCTGTATATTCAATTTCTGAAGAGGATCTGCAGAGATGCTGCTGCTGCCTCTTCAGCTGCCTCACACCTGGACTGTGCTGTCTCTGTGCCTTTTAATTGTGCTGGATCCTCTCAAGTCGTGAGAATTGTTCTGGTTTATCCGCTACGTGCGTCCTCTGAAAAGACAGTTTAGAAAAAAGGAGGTAAAAAAGGCTTTTCTACCCCTGAATATTTGCAGAGTACATTTTTAATCCCTGTGGTTTCTTTGAATACTCATCTCAGTACCTGTTCTCTGACTTGAAGATATTTTTTCACAGTAATGAGCGCAGCTGAGCGTCACGAGCACAGAAATCCTTATGTACCCTCTGCAAAGTTATTTCAGTGAATTGTAGAGAATTACAGTGCAGTAAAAGCAAGAAAATCCCACCTTCCTCAATGTTTTTAAAAGTCAGAAATTCCTACTAACCTGTGTTATTATAGCATCTCTTCTATAACTTACAGCTGAACCCTGATTTATATCAGAATTATTTCAGTCCAGATCTGATGTGCACTGTGAATAAATGAGCCAAAGCTGTGGGAACTGTGTTAAGGCCACTGAAAGTCCCCAGCACCGAGGCTGTTGTGGATCAGGCAGGGGATTTGTGTGGGACATCACGGTGGCTGCAGTGCAAAGGTCTCAGCTCCCACATCTTCATTGCAAACAGGTTAAAAATGGGTGTAAAATGGGGGGTGAGTGTGTGTGAGTGTGTGTGAGTGTGTGTGAGTGTGTGTCAGTGTGTGAGTGTGTGTGAGTGTGTGTGAGTGTGTGTGTGTGAGTGTGTATGAGTGTGTATGAGTGTGTGTGAGTGTGTGTGTGTCAGTGTGTGTGAGTGTGAGTGTGTGTGTGAGTGTGAGTGTGTGTGTGTCAGTGTGTGTGAGTGTGTGTCAGTGTGTGTGAGTGTGTGTGTGTGTGTCAGTGTGTGTGAGTGTGTGTCAGTGCCTGGTGTGCAACACCTGCAAACCGGTGAAAAATCGGTGTAAAATGGGTGTTGGTGTGTTATACACACAGACTGTTGAGAACACCTGTCCAGCAGGTGTTGGTGTGTAACACACAGACTGGTTGATATCACCCCTCCAGCGGGTGTTGGTGTGTTACACACACACAGTCTGGTTGATATCACCCCTCCAGCGGGTGTTGGTGTAACACAGACTGTTGATATCACCCCTCCAGTGGGTGTTGGTGTAACACAGGCTGGTTGATATCACCCCTCCAGCGGGTGTTGGTGTGTTACACACACACAGACTGTTGATATCACCCCTCCAGCGGGTGTTGGTGTGTTACACACACACAGACTGTTGATATCACCCCTCCAGCGGGTGTTGGTGTAACACAGACTGTTGATATCACCCCTCCAGCGGGTGTTGGTGTGTTACACACACACAGACTGTTGGTATCACCCCTCCAGCGGGTGTTGGTGTGTGCAGTGCAGTGCAGTGAGTGTAACCCCTCTCTGTCCCCCACAGCTCTACATCCAAACCACCACGCTCACCATCTCCATGAACCTGAGCGCGTCGGTGGCGCTGGGGATGCTCTACATGCCCAAGGTTTACATCATCATCTTCCACCCCGAGCTCAACGTGCAGAAGCGCAAGCGCAGCTTCAAGGCCGTGGTGACGGCGGCCACCATGTCCTCGCGCCTGTCCCACAAGCCCAGCGACCGGCCCAACGGCGAGGCCAAGACGGAGCTGTGCGAGAACGTGGATCCCAACAGTGAGTACGGGGCTCTGCGCACCCCGGCCTTGCCCTGCTTGCGCTGCTCCATCGCGGGCTTTGCGGCTCTGGCCTGTTTTTCAGAGTTGGCCGTTTCTGGCTCTGATTTTTGAGCCGTGCCGCCTGGCAGCGGCTCCTCGGGAGGTGTTTGGGAGCTGGGAGTGCCTCGTGCTGCCCCTGCTCTCCCTCTGTGGGTGAGGGATCAGCGCACCCTGGGCACAGAGCCCTGCAGCCCGTGCCCAGCTCCCTGGGCCAGCACCAAACCCAGCGAGAACTCCGCTAACCCGACTTCCATCCTCATTCTCGCAAAGTTGCTTTGCAAAAACCTCACGGTCCCTGAAGATTCCCATTTAGGGATTTTATCTGGTCTTAATGCAAATCTTGCCACCGATTTAAAGGGAAAATAGATGGCAAAGACACTTCTAGTTTCCTTAATGTGCATAGCAGAGGATAGCACAGCACGAAATTACAGACTGAGGCCATCCAATTTGATTTGCATTTGAATCTGGAAGGAGCTGAGGAAGGAGACAGCTGCACAACTCCGCAGCACGCTGCAAAGCTTTGGGCACGTCTGCAGTTTTAGAGCAAAAGCAGATCTGAGTGTGGAGCCCTCTCCCTGCCCGTGCTCCGTTTGCTGCTGGATCCCTGCCGCGTCTCATCCCCTCGGTGCCGCTGCAATTCCTGCCCAGAGCAGCAGCTCTGCTGTCACAGCAGGGTGGGACCAACAGATCCCTGGCACAGCACTCTCCTCCCCCTGCTCACCCCTGCAGGATTGCCCTGGATGCCTGATGGTGCAGGTGTACAGAACATTCCAGCTGCAAACGCTAAAGCGCTGCTGGGGAGCTGGGCTGGGCTCTGGCGTGGGGAGGAGATGTTTCTCCAGGCTGGCTGTATTGGGCCAGCTGCCTTGGACAGAGCAGGAGGAAACAAACCCAATTCCTGCCCTGGGTCCTCTGCCGAGGCAAACTTCAGCAAGGAAAAGAGAATCTGAAATCCAGCTGGGCCAGGGCAGGGGAATGTGTTGCTGGGGCACCTCACTAATAATTAATCGCTGTTTGGATCAACTAAGCTGAAATTAGTTTCTCCCCCACAAAAACCAAAATCTAAGAATGTCATGCTGAAATTTGAACCAAGAGAAAACCAGCCAAGCTGTGATGCTGCAGTGTTCCCTGTGGGACATCCCAGCCCAGGGTCCCCTCCTGCTCTCATCCTCCTGAGCTACATCTTACTGCTGGTTTCAGACTTCTGAGAATATTTTCCCCTCCCACCAAAGCCAGATTTTTCTTTGAGAAGGAAATCTGTCTACTAAAAATAAATTCTGCTCCCCTGACCCCCGTGTTTCTGGTCAAACTCCCCATTTTCAGTCCAGGGCTGCAGGCCAGATTATGTTTTTAAGAGGCACAAGGGGCAGAGGCCCCTGGCTCGCCCAGATGTGCCACTTTTGCCTTGAACCATCACTGAGTGGGATTTTAAAGCTCATAAATGTGTTTGTTAGGAAATGTGCAATCTCCGAGTTTCTGGTTTATAAACTCTTACTTCTTTTTTATCACTTGTGAAAATTGTATTTTTTAAAAACATTTTCATTATTTATATAGAATTCCATCTGTTCATAGTCTCAGCTGCACCAGCACTACTCATTCATTCCCCAGGTCTGTGTGTTCATAACAATTATTAGAAAATCAAATGAAATAAACTTCTGCTGTACTTAAAAATTTTTGGGTACATTAGTCACAGTGGAACTGCTGCAGTTACTGTCCTATAGCATTGATCAGGTTATTGATCAGCCCCCTGCTCAGGTGGTGTTCATGAGTGTCTGTAAAAGTAATTCACTGGACACCTGAACTCCGTTTCTTTTTTTAAAGTTTGAATAACCTGTTGAAAAAAGGTTGTTTACAGTTCCATTTTTAGGTGGGAAAAAAATGGAAGTTGTATTAGCAAGCTTAAAAAAAAGTCATAACATCCAAGAAAAACTCCTCCAACTTAATTTTCAGTGAAATTTTGAGTATGGTGTCCATACATAAAAATGGGTTTGATGTTTTTATAGCAATTTCACTTTAAAAATATTTTATACTGTTGAATAGGGAAATTCCCAGAGTTTTACCAATCAGAAAATAGGAAAAGTGAATTACAAATTGCCCTGGATACATCAATCCTTGGAGCAATTTTTAAAAACATCTCAAACATCTTTGAAAAGAAAAGCAAAGGATGTTTTTTCAGGATTTCTTTGTGAAATTGGCTTTGCCCCCCTCAGCTGCCCCCGGTGCCTGTGGGGCAGGGGCTGCCTGGTGCCCCAGGGCTGGGGCAGGTCCTTGGAGCCTCTCAGGGCTCTGGAGCTCAGGGGGCAGGAGCAGGGGATTCCTGCAGAGGATCAAAAGAGGCTGTGCAAGTACAGTGGGGGTTCCAGTTTGATTTTCTGTTCTGTCTCACGGGGCTGCTGCTGTTGCCTGCTGGATGCTGGGGCTGCCTTTGCTGTGGGAAAGCCACGAGTGTTGCTTTTGTCCCGAGAGCCAGGGAGCACCAGCACAGGATCCATGCACCTCCAAACACTGGAAATTCGGGGACTGAGCCCAGATTCATGGCCAGTCCTGCTCACAGGCCACAGTCAAAGCACAGGCAGAATGTGGGTGGTTTTACAGAGAAATAGCCTTGAGAAAATCTCCAAGTTTTGGCAGATCTTTACAGGAAAAGAGCAGCTGGGGCTGCCCCTGGATCCCTGGCAGTGCCCAAGGCCAGGCTGGACATTGGGGCTGGAGCAGCTGGGACAGTGGGAGGTGTCCCTGCCATGGCTGGGGGGCACTGGGGGGGATTTGGGGTCCCTTCAGTGCAGACCCTTCTGTGGCAGTGAGGATGTGCAGGTGAGGCTGAAGGTCTGTGAGCTCCCCGAGTGGGATCCCAGGAGCAGGAACAGCCACTGCACACAACTCTGGGAATCTGCTGGGATTCAGGCTCAGAAAAAAACGTGCAGAGCACTTGGGAGAGGGGTTTGGAGTGAGTCCAAAAGGAGCCAGTGAGTGACACGAGAGGAGAATCACATGAAATGATCTCCCACCCGTCAGGGAACGGGACTCAGCACGTTCCACATTTCCTTGGGATCGCTGGGAAAGCAGAAGTTTCACAAGCTGAGCTCCCCAGCCACACCGTGGGAGGGCTTCCATGCTGAATGGGATATATTAAGGCCAAGCCTTCCAATCCATTTAGGAAAACTCTCTTAATCATTCCTGTTTGCCATCTGGCGTGTGCCTGCTGTCACTCACAGCACGGCTTTCCCCGCTGGTGCTCCTTTGGGATCAGCAGGATTTGGTGCACAGCAGCCCTGGGATGGGTTTGTTGTGCTCTTGTGTGCCTTTGGTTGAATTTCTCTCTGTTTGGGAAGATGTTTCTGCTGCAGGAGCAGCGTCAGACTGGGAGGGAAACGCCTGAACCTCCAACCCCTACTTAACTTGAGATTTGTGTGTAGTTACTCCTTCCACCTCCCTGGAAAACACTAAAATGGCTGTTGATGATGCCAGGGAACCTGTGAGTGACTCTGGGGCTGAGGAGGGACAGGGGAGTCTGAAACTGCAGCCAAAATATCCCAGAGTCACTTCAGGGGAGAGGAAGGGAAACGTGCTGGGCCAGCCCTGCTCTCCTGTGAGCAGCTGCTGTGGGGTTTGGAGGTTCCTGAGCATCCTGAGCATCCTGAGCTCCCTGAGCATCCTGAGCTGGCCCATTTGGTGCTGCCCAGCCCAGCTCTCCTGTGCTGCTGTGGTGTTTGGAGGTTCCTGAGCATCCTGAGCTCCCTGAGCATCCTGAGCACCCTGAGCTGGCCTGTTTGGTGCTGCCCAGCCCAGCTCTCATGTGCTGCTGTGGTGTTTGGAGGTTCCTGAGCATCCTGAGCATCCTGAGCTGTCCTGTTTGGTGCTGCCCAGCCCAGCTCTCCTGTGCTGCTCCAGTGTTTGGAGGTTCCTGAGCATCCTGAGCACCCTGAGCTGTCCTGTTTGGTGCTGCCCAGCCCAGCTCTCCTGTGCTGCTGTGATGTTTGGAGGTTCCTGAGCATCCTGAGCACCCTGAGCTGTCCTGTTTGGTGCTGCCCAGCCCAGCTCTCGTGCTGCTGCGGGGTTTGGAGGTTCCTGAGCATCCTGAGCATCCTGAGCGCACCCTGAGCTGTTCTGTTTGGTGCTGCCCAGCCCAGCTCTCCTGTGCTGCTGCCCCCAGCTCTGCAGTGCCCCACTGAGCAGGGGGAATGTCAGGAGCTCACGGCAGGGCAGGCTGGGAGCGTTCCTCTGCCCACACCTGTCCTACATTCAATGTATTTACTTTCCCTGTAGACTCTATACCACCAGTAAGAAAGAGTGTTCAAAAGTCTGTTACTTGGTACACTCTTCCACCTACTGTATAGCTTTTGCCTGCTTTCCAAAAAGGTAAGGAAAACCAAGCTTTTATTATTTCATTCTCAAATTATGGTGATGATGATTATGACTCTTTTTATTATATGCATAATTATATCAGAAATGTTCGTTAGTGCAGCTGTGTTAAGACAAATATCCAACTTAAAAATTGTTCACAAAATTGTTACCAAAAGCTGTCATGGGAGGGTTTTCCTGGGAGAGGGGAGACCCCTGATGTGGGCAGCTCCAGGCCCTGTGCTGGGATCCTGGGGCACCAGCTCTGAGAGCTCTGCTGCTTCCCAGCCCCGGAGCTGGGTCCTGGTAAAGCCTTCAGGATGGAGATATTTGTTTAAAAATGAGCAGATGAATGATCACAAGTTAATTCTGGCCTCCAGAGCTGACAATCAGGGCAGCAAAGAGAGAACTCTGGCCAAGGTGGGATACCCCTCCCTACTCCAAAACCAGAAATGGCTCCATGAAGTTGGGAAAGCTGTTTTTCCCCTGGGCACTGCAGTGACCACTGACCTGCTGGAACCACCAGTGAACAATTTTTGAGGGCTGGCTTTTCTTTCCTGCGTGTTGTGGCTGCCTGTGGTGATCTGGTGATGTGTGAGCTCCTCTGGTGTTTGTGGAATTCCTGCTTTCCTAGGGCAAAGAGAGGAGTGAGGAGCCTTTAATGCCAGAGAGAAATGATTACTGACCATTAATAAGCATTTCTCACAGCTCCTGTGCGCTCAAAGGTTGTACCTGACCTGGTTCCTGTGGTGCTGTGCACTGAGGGCTGGAAAAATCACTGTATTCAGCCCTCAGAATGTTTAGCTGGGCCCTAATAGGCGAGAACTTCTATCAGCAAAGGTTGCAGTGTTGCTTGAATTGAGTCCCTGAGTCACAGGAAAAGAAATTACCAGTATCTCTGGCTGGTGTGAATTGCCCCAGCTCCAGCATCACTTCAGTCCTGGCTGAGAGCTCAAATTGGTTTTTATTGTATTTGAATCAGGGCCATTATGCCAAGTCCCAGCTCAGGCAGAAAGGGGTGGGAGGCTGGAGCTCCTCATGAGCCCCAGGGTGACCTGGAGCATCCCAGGGCTGGGCTGAGGGAAATGGAACAAAGGGAGGAGAAGAGAACACTCCCAGCCTTGCTGCAAATGAAAGAGGAGAGAGGAAAGGGCAGCTCTGAGAAGGTGAAATTCCTAAAGGAAGGAGATGAGAAAGAGAGAGATGGAGAACACCTAAATCTCAGGAGAAATCAGGTTTTTAAATAAAACAATACTTTTTTTTTTAAAATGGCACAAAAAATAATTAGGAGCTCAGATTCTAAAATATTTCTTTTTCCTTGTAATAATGGAAATAATCTAAAGAATTGCTGTCTGCAAAGGCGCACAATTAACTCTGTCATCCAAGTCCTAGAAAAAGCAACTGGCCACTCAGATTCTTTAAGCAGATTTTAAGATTTATTCCAGTGGAAATGTGAAAATGCTGCAGCCAGGGATGGTTTGTGCTGATCCTGCCAGTGCTTCAGGTTGTTCTCCATCTCTGCCCCAGCGTTGCTGCTCCTGGAGCCCTGGCTGCTGTTTTGATTTGTTCTTCCAGGAATACAAAACAAAGAGCAGCATGAAACAATGCAGAGTATTAAAAACAAAGCTGGGCTGGCAGGAAAACATCGTCCTGATGTAAACTGACACTTGTTTTGCTGCTAAGGTGTTTGTAGTAGGAAGGAGCAGAGCTGGGCCCTGACGTGACTGTATCAATTTCTGCTTGTGATGCACAGGGAGATGTGTTTGTAATGCTTTAAATTGTTTCCTGGGAGTGACAAATAGGACTTCTCTGCTCTTGAGGCTGATGAAAATGCAAGGCTTGAAAAGCTCCTGGTGGTAGCTGTGTGAGGGAAGGAATTGTCCATCAGTGGCAAGGCAAGGAGACATCTGAGGCCTCTGCAGAGCTGGGGGGTGGCTGCTGGCACCACGGGAGTGTCTGCAGTGCCTGGCACCTCCCCAGTGGGGCTGGGATGAAGGGACACGAGGGGCTGCCAGGGCACGAGGGGCTGCCAGGAGTGCCAGGGCTGCCAGGGCACGAGGGATTGCCAGAGCTGCCGCTGGCCCTGGGGACAGGCAGGTGGCTGTGGGGACAGGCAGGTGACCCAGGGGACAGGCAGGTGGCTGTGGGGACAGGCAGGTGACCTTGGGGACAGGCAGGTGGCTCTGGGGACAGGCAGGTGGCTGTGTGGACAGGCAGGTGACCCAGGGGACAGGTAGGTGACCCAGGGGACAGGCAGGTGGCTCTGGGGACAGGCAGGTGACCCAGGGGACAGGTAGGTGACCCAGGGGACAGGCAGGTGACCCAGGGGACAGGTAGGTGACCCAGGGGACAGGTAGGTGGCTGTGGGGACAGGCAGGTGACCCTGGGGACAGGCAGGTGACCCAGGGGACAGGCAGGTGGCTGTGGGGACAATCAGCTCTGTGTCCGAGCTGTGAGATGCTCTGGAGCTCATCCCCTCCAGTGTGTGCTATGGAACAATTATGTGCTGGATTGAAGTGTCATTTTTGTTTTAAATCTGGCCAGTTTCATCCTGAGAAAATACTCCGTGTTTAACCTCACTTGAGGGATTTTCTGTTCAGTGGAGGCTGCTAAGAAATGAGAATTTGCACTCAAAATTGATAACTGAAAGACTTTGACAGCTCTTCACTGCATCTATTTTGATTCTGGAACGGCTGACTGGAAAACTAAACATCACAAATTCCTTCTAATGGTGATGTGCTTGTTTTTAAAGCATTGCAGAGGTGCAGCCTGGCCTTGGGCACTGCCAGGGATCCAGGGGCAGCCCCAGCTGCTCTGGGCACCTGGGACAGGGCTCTCCACCCTGCCAGGAACAATTCCTGCCCAAAATCCCACCCAGCCCTGCCCTCTGGCCCTGGCAGCCATTCCCTGTGTCCTGTCCCTCCATCCCTGTCCCTCCATCCCTGTCCCTCCATCCCTGTCCCCAGTCCCTCCCCAGCCCTGCCAGGGGCTCTGAGCTCTCCCTGGAGCTTCTCCTCTCCAGCTGAGCACCCCCAGCTCCCCCTCCTGTCTGAACACTTGGGGATCGTGTTACTTTCTTTTTTACACCTAAAAACAATTACTTTTGAGGCTGCATTCATATAATTGCCTGCTCCCATATTAATTATCTGCAGACTGTCTCACACCTTTCATGACTTACACAATACAAGACTTGTAACGTGCAGGGAAGTGTCAGACTGTTTCCTTTTTTAAAAATTGAAATTCTGAGGGCACTTAAACCATCACCTTCAAGTCTGATGTGTGAATAAAAACACACTCCTGGCTAGAAGTGCCTGGGGTATTAAAAGCTGTGTAGTAGAGGGATGTCTGTGAGCACAAATAAGGATTAATTAGTGTGTAAGTGTTCATCCATTAGTGTGTAAGTATTCCATCTTTCCTGTCTCCTTCTGTGATCTCTTTTCCCTGGGAAACCCGGGTGAGGAGTGAGCAGACACAGCTGTACCTCCTGGACCAGTCCCTCTCGCTTCTTGGCTTACCAAACTCTCAGTAGCCGAGTTCTCCCCCTGACTGATTCATCACTCCTTACATCCTCTCAGGGAGCTTCTGTCAAATTTATAGCCTGGAATACCAGGGCAAAGACAGGCTTCTGGCTCTCTTCTCTCCCATCTAATGACTCCTTTCTCCCGAGCAGGGCTCAGGGCTCAGCCCAGCTGTCCTCAGTTCCCTGCTGGGCTCTTCCAGCCCTCACTGCCATCCCCTCCCTGCTGGGGACTGGCTCAGGACAGGAGCTGTGGGGTCAGATCAGACTCCACATCCTCACCTCCACTCCCCTGAAGTCCCTGGAGCCATTGGAATCCAGGCTTTGGGGAGCAGCTGAACCAGGGGCTGCAAGGGCTGCTTCTTCTTCTTCATAAATCTGCTGTGAATTTGGAAAGTGAGTTCAAAAAGGAAATTCTAACAACTATGGATTAAAAAGGCCAGGAGAACTAACCCCGAGCAATATCCCTGCAAAATTAACCTCAAAATAAAACCTCAAATACACAAATCCAGGCAGTTCTTGGTGGGCATGATTATTAGCATGGAGAAATCTGCTCAGGTTGTGTAGGAACAGCAAAAAACCTCTGTTCCTGATTCATTGTGTGCCTTTGGTGAAGCTGTCCAAACCTGGGTGTGTTTTTTCACCTTGTGGGAAGGAAAGCATAGGAAATGCAGCAGCTCTGGGAGCTGAGGGTGCTGAGGGGAGGCTGGGAGCACCCAGGGAACGAGGGAGATGTTGGTTTGTGTTCTCACAGAGGGCAAACAGAGAATGGATCTGTGCAGGCACCTGGAAACTGGGATTTCTGGGTGCTGCTCTCTCCCAGGCACTGCTCTGAACACATCACAGGGGTTTGTTTTATATTATTTTATTTACAGGAACCGTGGGGCTCCCAGTGAGGTGGGGGATTCATGGGGTTCATCCTTTTGGCCTTGAGGAGTTTGGGCTGTGGCTGGGGTTGGTTGGCAGGGAGCAAAGGCAGGCAGGTGTTTTCCAGCCATAGAGAAAAGTGAAAAAACAGGAGGGAGTTGGGTTCAATGCACATGAATTGCCATGAAGCACACCATGGAGACAGGCAAGAGAGGGAAGAAAGGCAGCCCAGCCCCGGGGTGTGAGGCCTGGCTGAGTTTCCCCTCGCTAAGCCAGAGCTCTCAGCTGGGAGCAGGCTGGCACTGCAGCCACTGAGGTGCCTGCTCTGCCTGTTCAGGGGGAAAAGAAATAGGAAAGATAAAGTTGCCATAGTTACACCACTTGTCACGATGCTTATCATGTCCCTGGCATAAAGAGCCCTGCATTAAATCTGGGCTCTTACTAATATCAGCTGTTAAACATTTCCAGGGTATTTGAAATCAAGACTTTCTGCTAAAAAATTAAATGTTGATTGCAGCAAAATTGGGCTGTTTAACAGCAGAGCTCAGAGTGTAATTTTGTCAGACACTGTGTAACAGAGTTGTACACCAAGAATACATTTTCCAGTGAATTGAGTTTCTCTGCACCTCATGAA